CGTCCTAACCGCTGTGCCACCAACTCAGTGACAGAGATGAGAATCTGATTGAGAACTGAATTCTCACCGGGTTACAAAACCAGGACCTTCCGGTTACAAGGAAAGCTCGTAAATCATTAAGACATTGAGACCCAACTCAGTCGCCTACAAATTATAGCTTCTACGAATTCATGAGTTTAGCGCAGGCAGTGCCATCGCCGGCAAGTATGTTTACTCATTCAAGACCCACCTGGTGTACCCTGATGGTCAAGACTTCTCATTTGAACTGCAGTCAACCTCGTCCTGCAACCAGTCACTAGCACGCATCACATTGGTTTTAAAGAGTTGATTTGTAGGGCTTTAATCTATCTTCAAGTTTTGCCACGGATTGATGATGTCAGTCAGAGAACCACTGAGAACCAGGGAGTATTGGTCAGCTGTTTCCTCCATACTAGTTTTGGACTCATTGGCTGGTTGTCACACTGAAATCGCGAAATGTTAGAGGTTAGAATTCATTGACTGGTCACTGATTTTGGTCCCACTGTCTGAGTAGTCTACGAACTTGACTTGTCATCGCAAGATTCCGGGTTGAAACCGTGTAGGTGATTGGGTACTGCTGATGAGTCTCACACTAGAATGGAGTAACCAGTTGTCCAGTACTCCCAGGTTTTCAGTAGTTCTCTAACTGATATGAATCCGTGATCGAACTTGAAAAACAAATCAAATCCCCACAAACTGACTGTTGATATTGGGAAGTGTCTCTTTTTAACAGATTACTAGAGTCTGTCAAAATTCAAACATGCCGCAGCTTTTAACCACTTATTTCTTCAAAGCCTTAAAATGTTGACACTGAGTTCCCCGGGATTTATCTGATTCGGTCTAGTATGAGAATATTCGTCAACATGCATCAAAGATGTCGTCGTCAGGAGTCGCAACCAGGAGGAGCAAGTTTACATATATTTCAACTAGTTGTTTTTGATTCATTGACGCATTATTCCTTTTTTTCTCTCACAGTAAAGGAAGACCGGTGTTCACTTTCACCGGTGAATACTCACCCTCATATCTAACTTGAAGAATTTCGTGACCTTTCATCATTACGTCATCTAAAAATGCGTATCTTAAGGTTAGTGAAAAATCAGCAGTTGAGTGTTATTCAGACATTAAGTTTTCAATGATTTTATTGATTTCATGACAGAAAACAAAAGAAGCATATAGCTGCTAAAATACTATAGACTCGAACAATGAGCAGTAACCCGTCTTTCCTTGCTCCTACTACTACTCAACAAAAAGAAAAATGCTTGACATTATTCACTGGAAGTAAATCCAGTAGTCTCTAACCACACATAGCCATCACTGTTTTGCTAACTTTAGTTCATTTCTAATTTCTAAAAGTCAGCTTCCTTTCTTCGATGACTCCCCTACAACTATTACCCTCAGAGATATGCTTTTTTAACGTTTCTTTAGACAAAGAAACAATAGCTACCTTTCGAAAAACACATTTTCAGATGCTACAATGCAGGTGTGTTGAGGTGATCACCAAGATTACTTCCCACCAGAAGTAATTAAGCTATTATATGTGGTATATGTCTTGAAAGCATTAATCACCGCAAAGTGTTGCACACTTTTCTTTTACTACAACAAAACAAGGCATAGTAAAATGGGTTTGTTTAAACGTATTAGTTATTGAGATACGGCAAATACCATGAATGAAGGTATAAAAACGTTTACAGAAACTAAGATAGTTAAGACAAGTACCCCGTGAATTTTCCTTGGAATTCTCGTCAATAATAAAGTTCATTTTGAATTATAATTGAAAGGAAGACGTTTACACAAGAAATAATAATAATGACATGTGCACTGTTGAATATTCTCAAATTACAGTTGAAACAGTTAAGTGCTTTGATAATTTATCAGTAGGAATATTTCTGAAATCTACCATCGGTCGTATGGGGTAACCTGGCTTATGTATTTTAATAGTACAGCATGTGGACAGACATGGAGCCAGGTGAAATCGTTAGCGGAAAACCGAAAGCAATGGAGACGTCTGGCTGAAGCCTTATGTCCCTCTAGGAACTAAAAGAAACTCTCTCTCTCTCTCTCTATATATATATATATATATATATATATATATATACATATATAATATTTACATTCCTAGTAGAACATTGGTCTTCAAGCTGGAGGTTTGAAGTTTCTGTAGCAGTGGTGTTCATTTCTACAGGATGGGGTTGCTAGTCTCATTCATGCCCAAACTTTCCTCTTTGCCAGTTTTACTGCTGCTTTAGCGAGGTAAAGGAGGGTGTCAGTGGCCAGGGATCAAACCGAGAATCATGTGCATGGTTGGCAAGCAACCTGATCGCTATACCACCGACTCACATGTGTAGAAGGTTTAATGAATTATTGATATAAGTATAAAAGAAATGATCTGAATCAAAACTAACTGTCTATACTAAGTTAATTGTTCAACTGTGTGGAAGATGTAAACATATCACTGAGTAATAACAACAGTATACATATGAAAGTTGTAGAACTTATGCACACTAAAGTTTCATCAAATAACCATTTTCATACACTACTAAATACAATACAAAATATTAATAATTTGAGTAGTACTTCTTCAATTTCGTGAAAAAATCTACATATCCCAACAAATCGAATGTTGATGAAAAACTCTGACCGGAACAGGCTGGATACAGGAGAAAAAAGTCATGTATTGAACAAATCGCCACACTACGAATCATCATTGAACAAAGCTTGGAATGGCAGTCACCTCTCCATCTCACTCAACTTCATCGAATTTGAAAAGGCCTTCGATAGTGCAGCGTCGATCGAGAGGTGATTTGGAAACTACTTCGCTACTACGGGGTCCCATCGACAATTATACATCTCATCCAACAGTTAGTTGTACGACAATGCTGCATGCCAAGTAATCCACAACGGGAAACTTACGGAATCCTTCGAAGTGAGAACGGGAGTGAAGCAAGGCTGTCTACTATCGCCAATGATCTTCTTGATTGTAGTAGATTGAGTAATGCGACAGACAACGGGAAATGAGGAAACAGACATAAAATGGACTCACACAAAAAACCTGGGGGGTATGGATATCTTCCGTGATGATATATTTCTGATTTCTCGCAAACTTGAAGATATGCAAGTGAAAAGCAACAAGTTGTCAGAAGAAGCATCAAAGATACGAAGGACTTCAGATGAACATAGAGAAAACAGAAGTGATGAAGATTCCTGGTCAACAGCAACGGCCACAGCAACAACGATATACAACAATCTGCATAAATGAGAGTAATTTGAAAGAAGCAACCTTCTTTATCTAGCTGAAGAGCGCCGTTCCAACTACAGGCTGTGGAGCTGACGGGAATATCAAAGCAAGAATCGGAAAAGCAAGACAAGTCTGTGTGGAGATCAACAGTCCTCATCATGGAGAATAAGATCCGGATTTTCAACTTCAATGTGAAGTCAGTGATACTACACGGATTGATCAGAGACTTGGCGCTGAGTCACGAATGGCGCTTCGAACAAACTACAGACTTTCATCAACACCTGTCTTCGCTCAATACTCAAGATCAGATAGCCGGCCAGAAAAGATCAGCAAGAGGGAGGGATCTCTGGGAGCGAACCAACCAACTCAGCAGGAACCGATTGTGCAACAAATAAGCAGGAAGAAACGGAGGTGGATTGGCCATATTCTTAGAAAACAAACCATCAATTGACATCACAAAACAGTCCATCACTAGAGTGAAACCCGAATAGGAAGTGGCGAGTTGGTCGTCAGTGCGAGGGTGACATGAAGGAGGAGGAGGTGATGTGAAGAGGAGATGAAAGCATTTGGGCAGACTTGGAGCCAGGTGAAAACTCTAGCAGAGGACCGAACGCAATGGAGACGCGTGACTGAAGCCCTATGTTCCTCTAGGAATTAGAGGAAATAATAATAATAACAGTTTCAGATTTATTCATATAAACAGTCAGGATGGTATACTGAGATTTACCAAATACAACAGTCAACAGCCTACTTATTCTCACTTTATGTGTACACACAGGCAGGTGGTCATCGGAATAATGAAGAGGATTAATATCTCATCTGGTTGATTCCACTGTGATTTTACATCCTGAATTGAATGTTTTAATCATGAAGCTATCATCTTTTTTTCTGCCTTCAGTGTTAACATTTGCTTAAACAATGGGAAACTTCCTTGTTCTAGTAAATATCTCCTAAAATCCATCGAATAATTCGTGGAAACATTAGATAGCCAGAAAAGACAAGCAACAAGAAACAATTGCAGAGTAAAGGATAACTAATAACTCATCACGTCACGCACCAGACTCCAAAGGGGAATCCAAATAGGGAAATGACGAGGTGAGAGTGGATCCAAGGCTGACACTAAGAAATGAAAGCTTACTAACGATCATGGTTCTAGCTTAAAATGTCTCCAGAGAACAGATTGAAATGTTGATGTACCAGTGAAGTCACTTATTTCACTCAGAACGCAAAGCAAATAATAATAATTATAATAGTGAATACCTAATCGGAGAATTTGTTTCCTAAAAATATGTATAAATTGGAAAGCGTTGCCTTTGAAACTGGATAAAATGCAAAAAAGCGGATTATTTCTAAAAATGACATGAATGATGTGAAAAAGGCGCCTAATTCGGCCATTTTTTAAAACGTCAAAAAAATGCGGGTAAATGTGGTTAATTAATTATTCAAACAAAATTCACAAAAAAGGAAGTAAGTGAGTGAGTGAGTGACAACGTGGGTGAAAAGTGGAAAACTTCAGGAAATTGAGAATTTCATGTTTCATTTTACCCACTGATCAAAAATGGCTATCTCATCCTCTTAACCCAAGAGCGTCCTCTGACTGGATTCTTCTTTTTTAAGCGTATAAACTGATATCAACAACAAAATAAAAGAACAATAATGAAGAAAGTAAAGCCAGTATTTTACACACACACGCACATACACACACACACAAATAAAAGAATATGCCAAAGGATTTCCTTTCACCTACCTGAAACGATCTGTCATTCACAGGACAATTAATTTTTTGAATTACACAGACAACTTTTTTCACTAATGCCTCGTAATCAGGTTTAATTAAATCAATTTTATCCATTGTTGACATTCGACCAGAATATTTTTCACAATCTTTTAATTGTTTTTCATGTAATAATGATTTAACACATTTTTTATATTCTATGCCTTTATTAAACCAATGACCACTACTGGCATTTTGATCATTCAACATTATTACTTCATGTAATGCGCCAATTTGTTGTTTCTTCACCTCATCTAGGCGTAATGCTGTTTTATTCTTTGTCAATATTGATGAATGTTGAGAAAGTGTATCATTTGGTAGAAATAATAATAAACTAAATGCAATTATAATAAACATTTGTAGAAAGGTAAACATTGATAAATATTGTATTAAATGTTTATGCATAATATATATTTATATTTTTATTATAAAATTGAATTTATTATATTTAATTAAAGTATGCGTTAAACATTCTTCTCCTGTTCAATGTGTTCAATGTGTGTTAAATGCGTCAATGTTTCAATATACCCTGATCATTTATACCTTTATAATTCTTCTTTTATAGTGAATGCATGTTTTAGAAAAAAAACTACTTCTCTTTATATACTAAAAGGGATCTAATTTTATCAAATTAAATATTACTTAAACCAATTATAAGTATTCTGAGATTAACTTTTTTTGCTTTACTACAAAAGTGTTACAATAAATGACCTCTTTCCCTTTTAGTTATCTGTAATCATTGGGCAAATTAAATCTGGCGCCTGTAAATATTACCATAGATATATAATATGTATATATTTCAATTCGGCTATGAATAAATCAGTGCTTGAAGCTTTGATAGTACATGTTGATACTATATGCATTTTGCCACACACAAATAACACTCATGTATATGTATGTATGTGTGTGTGCGTGTGTGTGTGGGGTGTCAAACTTTCAACAGGATTTATATATATATATATATTCATGTATACAGGTTACATAAAATACATATATATGTGGGTGGGTGTAAAACTATCCCACCACATAATATTCAATTTCTTGCATGTGTACAGTATTTCAATACTCACTGTTACTATTATATATGTATAAATACATATATGTATATAGTATTCGACATAGGAAGAGAGTATCATGTATTTCTGGCCTAAAGTGTTATTTCTTAAGAATGCGTAACTACCTGTATACCTACCTATCTATCTGCACACCATTTCATTTTATTAGTTGTAACCGCAGGGAGAGAAAAGACTGTTTGGTACACATATATAGTGCAACTATGTACACTCTTATTAGTTTGGCTTAATTATTACTTGATGGCGCCAAAAGTAACGCAGTAAAGTGGAAGAAAATTCCTATTAGACGCCAAATTAGAAGCTAAAGATATATATGTATATATATGTATTCATTCAAACACAACTGAAATCATCATAAAACATTCAGTTCCGTCTGAGTGTAAAGACACACTCAGAGACTGGGATTTTAATTCCAAATAAAAGTAGGGAACACTACCGTCTAACAACCCTCTATATGCACTGACATATATATGTCGTGTTAAACTGTGAATTCTTGTTTAATTCGGACTTGAAATGTACACTGACTCAAGATTGGCAAAAAAAACAACATACAATTCAAGTTTATTTATTGTTCCCCCTGATTAGTTGATTTTCTCTGTACAAATATGAGCTAACAAAAATCTCACTGTAATGATGACATGCCTGTCTACACATGAATCAATATGCTAGACCTTGAGTCTAACTTACAACTCAACAAACCTCCTTTATTTAGACATATAGAAAACAATAAATTAAATGAAAAAAAAACTGATTACTTAACAATGAGATCCTTGTTGTTGTTGTTGTTGTTGGCTATAGTCTTTAATACAACGCAGTAAAATAAACCAATACATACTACTGATTGACTGGGTTAAGTAGTGTTTGTATGTCAACTAGTATTATACTTGCTAGTCAGTGGACAGGAGTTTCATTCGATTCGTGCAGAGGTCATCAGCTCAGCTGTGTACCTGGTATGATCCAACTAGCACCCTATTGAGTCAGTTTAGTTTTGGCTGAATATTTGGCGATGAACTAATGACACCATAAATCGAATTTTCACTTTACACTTGATTTCTTGTTCACCATATATGGTATCAAGTGGATCATATATATATATATATATATTGTGATTTTAACACTTTCGGTTTTTCAAACGAAAATTATGGTGAAATCACATCTGGAATTGTATAAATGGCTTATTTACTTGTAGGCTGCCATATTGACTTACAATACAACCCTACCACTAGATCGGTAATTCTTGTACTATATTAAAATTGTTACGTTTTTCAGAGTAGAGCCAATCATGAGGATACAATCAGAAAGTGAATATTTCCTAGCTTAATTGGTTGTCATGTTTTTCCCGATAAAGTTAAAGCGAAAGCCTGAAAGAATCCAAACGGTGCCAAAAAGAAACTGTTATTTATGAGTGTTGAATTTAAAAGTGATACCACAGCTGAGATCCTGAAGAATCAATCACCTATGCAGATCACTGAAGAAAGCCTTCTATACGGCTGAGCTACGGATCAATTTCTACAGCCGACAAATGATCAATGGGTGTGTGAAGGATAAAATGCTGCCAATTTGAGCCACTTCAATGTGTGTTTATATAAATCCACCCGCTCGTGTGGAGCTAGTTGTATTGGCCATACAAAGCGCACACTTCCCAGACGCATCTCTGAACATTATCCAGTATGGTTAGCAAAAGGATAATGCAAGACAGTTACTAAAACAATTCCCAAGCACTTGTTGAACTCAAGGCAAATGGCTCCACCACAGTCGTCTTTCAAGATCATCGACAGGGTGAGGCCAAATGGTACAAAGGGCGTCAGGTTTCGGCTTTTGTGTATGGCGGAGGTGCTGGAAATTCGTCAATATAAACCCCAAACTCTGTATACAGAAAAAATTTTTCAAGTTTCCTATTCTACCTTGGTCTTAACCTCTTCAATAATCGTTCCCTGTAAACAATTTTAATTTTTTTTTAATTTTCAATTTTACTTTCATTTTTCTTTTACTTTATTAATTAATTCACTATTATCACTCTCATATGCTGCTTCTGTACATTTCACACCCTCTTCACACTTTTTAAATTGACACTCAACCACCCTAATTCTCACTCAATGGCAATTTTAACCTTATCAGATTTGTAGCTTAGTTCCAATGAGTACCAAGTAATTTACAACTGTTATTTCTTTTACTTCTAAAGCCCCTTCTGAGTAATAATATCAATTATGTAACCCCCTATTCCTCAATAGCAGACTGTTATACATTTTTGGCAAATATAAGTACGACTGCACAGCCTCTTAAGATGATTCCTTCGAGAAAGAAAAGTTTCTTTGCTGAATTTATCTTTTATTTTCTTCATGACCCAATGGGTATTTTCGAATATTTCTAAACTTAGTTTGTTGTCACTGAAATTTTCAATCTTGAAATTACAGAGTTCAAAGTGAAACATCATCATGGTTTCCTTGGGAAACAAAAAGGTATTCAGATCATAATATGTGATCTCCTTAATACCATAAGTTTCAGTCAAATTAGCAAGTATGATTGCACAATATTATACATATACACTGATGAATATTCTCGGTTGAACAAGGGGACAATGGTGAGTCTATCACTTCGTATTATGTAATTTGCAAGTGGTAAACTTGAATCTGTGCATTACTAATTCATCCAAGTAGTTAGCCAGAATTCAGGTAGCTTCAGCTGTCTACTACCTTGTTGATCTACCAAAGAAGAGCAACACAGCCTTTTGTGCAAAAAGAAGCGAGCAACATGCTCGTGTCCACACCAAACAAAATATTCACTCGTGTCATTCCGGAGAGACGAAGAGACACTATGCATGCAAAACCGTCTAGAACAAGTTGAATTCGAGAAAAGCAGATCATGCGCTGGTCAAATTACAAGTCTACACATTATCATCAAACAGAGCATAGAATGATAGTCAATGCTTCATCACAACTTCATCGGATTTGAAAAGGCCTTCGACAGCGTTGATAGCAAACTAACCTGGAAACTGCTTCAACACACCGGAGTGAGGCAAGCTTAAATCAACTTCATCTAAAAGTTATACAATGACACCACATGCTAACTGGTTCATAACGGGAAACTGATCGAAGCCTTTGAAGTGAAGAAAAAAGTAAGACAAGGCTGACTGCTACCACTAGTGATATTCATAAATAAGGCTAACTGGACCAAGCATACGTTGGGCCAATAAGAATACTGTGAAGTTCACGGATGATTAATATCGAGTGTCACACAGGCGTACGCGATGCAGACCGCTGAGTGACTGTACCTAGAAGGTCCTCAACTGGAACAGGAACGAGAAACAACGCGTTGACAGTATGCCCAAGGGTGAGATGGAGGAATTCTCGCTGGGAGGAAGTAAAAGCTTATGGGAAGTGGCGGAGTCAGGTGAAAATAAATATGGAGGGTAGAACGAAAGCTTGCTGTGAAAGCTTTATTTTCCACTCGGAGACCAAGGGAATAATAATAAAATAACAACAATAATTTACTTATAAATCAACTTTAGATTTTATCAACGATTGATTGAACCGAAGTGCTCAGTCTCAGGTTGACATGTCGGTTTCTCGTGCAGATGCTTCGACAATTTCTTGGCATGTCATTATAACTTAATTGGTGAATGGCGACTAGCAGTGGAATCCAGGATGTGCATTTCAGCTGTCCTATATGCGACTCGTCAGCTGGATGTAACTGCATTCCTCAGTGAGCGATGCTGTTCCCACCAAGGCTGGAACCCAGCGCCCGTAGTTTCAAACGCCAAAGAGTTATCCACTAGACCATCTGGGCCAAGACCACCACCTCATCCACCAATTGACCTCTAATTACATGCACAGACATCGTCGAAGCATCTACAGAAGAGCCGACATGTCAACCTGAGACCAAGCACTTTGATCCAATCAATCGACGGGATAATCTAAAATTCAATTAAATAATTGATATGACCCGTTGCACAAGAAGTGGGGTAGTTTTCGTGGCCCAGTTGGTCTAGCGGAAAACGCTTTGACGTTTAAAACTTTGAGCACTGGGTTCGAGCCTAGGTGGGGACATCATCACTCACTAAGAAATGCAGGTACATCCGGCAAACAGGACAGCCAAAATGCACATAATGGTGGATTCCGCTGCTAGTCACCATTCACCAATTAACTTATAATTTACTTTTAGTCAAGAATTTTGACTGTATATCCTCCAGCAATATTTCACCTCTTACTTCTCTAGCACATTTGAAAAATTTATTATCATTCTGCACTGACAACGGTAATTTCGACTTTATACTTAAATACTTCCGATATTTTGATGGCCTTGCTACGGAGATTCTATAACGACCATTACAGGTTAGTGTATATGAATTACCTTGAAAATCACGTTGGTGATATAACTAACAAGGTACTTTTAGGAGATACGTCATGATATATGCTATTGGCATGAAGATGTGACTCATCCAATCGATATTGCCTAACTGTACAAAATCACATCAGTCTTAATAATAATAACAGTAATAATTTGCTTTATTCTAAAACAGTACTTGTGATACAAAATGGAATTCTCAGCATTTCACTACAGTATCGCATCCAGTTTGTACACTATCAATATATAAAATTCTACATAGATCAAGGGTAATCTCAGTTAGTTATGACAACAACATATTGGCATGTCGGTAACAAAGCCAAAAATTGAAAA